TTACGAGTGTTTGTGTGTGCGAACACAACGCTTGGTGCAACCCTAAACCGAAACATGACTTTGACTAACGTTGCTGCTGCATGTAAATGGGCGCCCCGCCGCATGCCACACGTTTGCCAGTAATCATCCATTATCCTAATGCCAACCATGTCCATGCCCAGTACAACCCAAGCCCCAAGAGAGTGACCGTATGTGTGGGTGTGGGTGTGTGTGTATGTGTATGCCCGGTCGATTGGATTATGCTACAACCTGCAAAACCTTCAAGCCTGGAACAGGGGCTACTCATACTGCAGCAGGAGCTGGAGCTGGAGCTCGTCTGACCTGGTCGCCTTACTGCGACATTTATTAATGATACGACCGAGAGTCGTGGCACACTTACACTCACACACACAATTACACTTTCAGGGGCAACCCAAAAACGATTTGCGTAATCGCAGCTCGAAATCATATTAATTGGCCCGTGCCTCTTGGCATTTACCCGAATCGATAATGAAAAGTTCAAACTGTAAAATCCAAAAGGTTATTGCTGTTTCCAACTCGAGTGCTTATGTGGACTCTCCGCCTGCTGCGCCACTTAAATAGTTTTTTAGTTAACAAGCCGATCGATTGTTCTATATGTCAGCTGCCTTTATTCCCACACTCTCTTACACACACACACTCATACTCTCGGTCTAATCATAGCGTCTGCATTCGGTATTTATAAAATTGGGCCATAAAATGGCAACGCACTCGAAAATAGCATTGCGTGGTGTCAAGAAAAGTCGGCTGTTTCAAAAATTCTTCAAGGCATGTTTAAAGCTTTAAGCCAGCTTCGACTTTTACCAAGAATTTGCCTACTGCATACAGCTTACATTTTTTAAAGCTTTCTTAAATACTCACACACACGCATTCCTACAAGCTTCACAAATAATTAAGCAAGTTCCGGGTTACGTATGCGCCATGTAAGCCAGCGTGGCGATATGTTTTTTTTTCGTGCTTTATAATTGTGATGTGTATTTCCATTGACGTAAGGGTGAATGTGTTGCAATAAGCGACATACAGGCAGAGATACTACGTCTGAGAATGGCAGGTGGTTGCCAGCACTTGACAGCCGTCGGACAAGGCCACAGGCTGGCAGTGGGAGGGGGTAGGGAAACGATCAGATGAGCCGACTCATTGCAACTTTCAGAAACAATAAAACTCGCACTGCATAATATATGAGACAGAGCTTCCGACCCCTTGACAGACAGCCAGAAAACTGTCTGCCAGTTACTCATGTACAGTGTTCTTCCTGCTGCTGCTGCTGTTGTTCTTCTTGTTGTCAAAAAGTACGCACAATTCACTTTAATTTCAGGGACGATGCGAAGCCAGAAAATGATAGCAACAGCGACGGCAACTCATTACCGGGCACATTGTCAGCCGATGGCGCCCACCAAGGCGTCGCTCGCAAATGTTTGTGTTACTGCGAGTTTATTACGAATTCATTAACGTTTGTAAATGTAATTAAATGCTTTTGAAAAGTATCGTTAAATGTGCTTAAATCAACAAATAAGCCAGCTAGCTGAGGCAGCTATCTGTATCAAAGCTTTTATCATATGATTAATAATAGTTTAATTTAAGTAAAATGAAACTGCGAGATTTGTTTTTATCTCGATTTCAGTTGAACACTGAAAAGAACTGTTCCAAAAGCTCTCATAAGCTTCCGGTACGACAAATTGTATAGTCTGGGAAAAAATAGTTATTTTTATTAAAGAGCTTTGGCAGCTTTAAAAATCTTTTAGTAAGATTAATTATATGTAACTTAAAACTCAAACAAAAGCATTCAAGCTTCTTCAACTTTCCACTTAAACTGAAAGCTTCTTGTAGGATTTACTTCATTCACCTTCAGGTTTGAAACTCATAGAGATCCACGAAAAAACTTGTCAACACTCTGAAAAATGTTATTATGATAATTTGTTAAAATTAAAGCTTCAATTAAAGCACAGTAGCAGGTGAATTAACCATACCTATGCACTGCTATTGTGGCATTTCCTATAGCTCTGGTGTGCTTTAATTATATTTAAAAAATGAAAGCCTTGCAGTTATAAAATTATGTAAACTATTATTGATAATTGTTTGTTGTAATGTCATTGCGTTTCGTCAAATTGCATTTGTAATGCGAAGACAAATGTTACTCGAGGCATATTCATAAGGGACAACGTATAGGTGTTGCTCGGTGAGACACCCCCCTTAGTCGGCCACAGTTAATTACATAAAAGTCTGTGCAATCTGAGCTACCCAAGTCTGTTGCAATCTGTCGGCAGTCAGTCAACGAGACTGCAACTTTTATGAGACGCCGACAGACGCCTAATTAGATCTTCCAACGAGAACTGCGAACAACTACATGAAACACCTCAGTAAATTATGTGAGAAATGCACTTAAGTAGCTGCCTGTGGCATGGAGAATGTGATTTTGTATGTGTGTGTGTGTGTGTGTGTTTGTGTGTGTATGGTATTGTGGCAGAGCTGATTTGTCTGCTTTGTCTGGCGTCTTTTGTAGTATCGAAATTTGCAGCTAAAGAATTTCAATTTAAATCGAATTTTGGCCAGCTTGTGAATGGCATGTGGCTTGGCATTTTATCTTTGCACCAAAAACTTGGCCAAGTCAATACAATGTCGAATGCAGTGCTAATTCTCCGACTGACACTGGCTGCATACAATTTGTGGTATATTTATTGGCTTGTTTGGTCAGTTACACACACACACCCCCCACACATCCACAAACACACAGACACACTCAACTGGACTACAAACAGAGAGCAAGATAGAAATATTTGGGTGCACAGCTGGAGTTCGAATTGTTGGCCTGTTAAGCTGGCCAGACTCAAAGCATGACCATTGACACACTTATTTGCACAGCTGCTGAGCTGAGTTTAGCTTATGTGTTGGCCAGTTTTCAAGCCGTACTATATATATACATATATTTTAATATGTTTATAAAATTTTACCAACAAATTGGCCAGCCACAAGCCAGAGGCCGGGCAGGCTCAGAGGCCCCAGTAGTGGCTCTGGCAATGACTTTCAGTTCAGGTGCAGCAGTGTTGCATTAACTTATGCAACAACTTGCAAGTTTAAATAAATACATTTTCAGTTTGAGGCAAAAGCCGAGGCAAGGGTGGAGGCTGAGCAGGCAACGGCACAGGCTCTGGCACAGGCACAGGCACAGCTAGCGACAGAGGCAGAGGCAGAGGCAGGCGCACGTAACAATTTGTGAGGCAAACATGGCTTTATTTTAGTTTCAATTTTTACTTCGTTATTTTTTTTATACACACACGAATACACACGCACACACACTTACACCGAGATGGCGCTGTGTTTGTTTTAGAACACGCCGCTTGTTGTCTTTGGCAGCGTCCTCGTCCTCATCGTCCTTTTGCCGCCATTTTACGCTCGTTATGGCAACACTTTTGGCTCAAAAGCAAACGACTCTGACAACGTGCACAACTCAAACGGCCGTCGCGCTGCAGAAAATAAAAAAAATAGAATAAAAAACTAAAAAAAAACGTTATTGCGTGGTGTGCGGCTCGTTACGTTCCATGAGGCAGCACAGAGAGGCGGCAGCAGCAGTGAAAAAATCATTTCAAGCAGAAACAACAAGGGAAATGCACAAAACGCCTTCGCGCCTTGCAGTTTCCTTCCTCCCAACTACGTAATGTGTGTTAAGGTGTGTGTGTGTGTGTGTGTGAATCTGTGTGTCACAGTGTTTGCCTACGTTCGCTTCGTTGACTGGCAACTTTCGTCGCCTGTGCACTCGCGCCCGCTGGTGATTGACTGCAACATGTCTGTATCTGTATGTTCATCACTGTTTGTTGTCAACGTTGTTCTTGTTGTTCTTGTTGTTCTTGTTGTTCTTGTTGTTGTTGTCGTTGTTGTTTGGCAATAATTTTTTAACGCTCTGGCAGACGCATGCGGCATTTGCCTGCTGTCTGTACCCGCTGTCGCCTGTTTGTTTACATGATTGTGCACAGAAGTGTTTGCTTCCCGGCCCCTGCCTGCACCCAAACTGACGATTTCCGGCACTTGTGAGTGCATTAGCGCCTGAGAGCGGGCATTGTCGAGGACTGGCATTGCGGGTAAGCGGCGGGTGGGGGGAGTTTGCATTTCTCTTTGAGCCAAATCACAGCAAATTATATTTTTATTGATTCTGTCAACATTTGCGTGCGATTTGCTCGATAAAAAGCTCAGCAAGGGGAATTAATTTGATTGAGTTGCATATTGCGCATACGCCATGTTGCCAGACGGCAGTTCCCAATTGCAGTGCCCAGTCAGCTGGCCGACAACAACAATGGCAACAATTTTAAAAGCTTGGCACAACGCAAAAACCGCAGCAAGTCGCGACAGCTAAAACAGCAGCAACAACAACAACAACAACAGCAGCAACAACTTTTCGCATTCACTAAAACTTTTCAACATTTTCTTGTTAGCCGTTGTCGTTGTTGCTGTTGCTGTTGCTGCTGTTGCTGTCGTTGTTGCTATTGCTGCTGTTGTTGTTGTTGTTGCTACTTTGGCTGCATTGCCATAGACCCAGTGAGCAAATTGTAAATGAAAAAGTTTTTTATGTTATTCAGTGTTTGCTGTGGGCGGCTCTTCCATCATTGCGCCTCCACACCCGTTTCTATCTCTCCCACATTCAGTCTCTAGCGCCTCGTGGTGTGTGTGTGTGTTTCCGTTTTTAAGGCCGCCTATGGATACGAGTATTTGTGGTGTTGTCGTTATTGCTGCATTATGTCTATTGTTGTCTATAGAAGTTTTGTCGAAAGTAATTGTAAATGCTGTTCATAGTTGGACTGACTCTCTGCCTCTCTGTCTGGCTGGCCGTCGTCCTGTCTCTTACTGGCTCCTGTCAACTTCAAGAGATTTTCGTTTTCAAAAATTTAGCCAATGCTTAAAGTCAAATCTGATGCAAAAGCAGAAGGCAAACCTTGAAATATTCATTTTTTACGCTTCTCTCTTTTATGGCAATTCTTGATTACACAACATAGTAAAAAAAGTTGAAAGCAGGTGTAACACAAAGTGTTTTTATGTTAAGCAGTGTGCAGACTAAAACAAAACAAAATTATTAATGAAAGCAGCTCAGTTTTGGATTAAGTCAACTTTGTTAATATCGAGTCAAAGAGAACAGCTACAAAAATGTCATCGCCTATAGCAACGGAGTGTTAAATGCACTAATACTTACATTTACATATTATAAATGTCTACAAAGTGTAAAAGAATTTAAGAGCAACATAATTAAAGGAACACAAAGTACATCCAAAGTGTAGCAAAAAATATTAAATTCCTCAACCTGTCGGGCACACCGCCTACGTCTCCAACACCGTCCAGGAGAACAAAGCGAGACCCGACACCAAAATGACCCGCTTTCGCATAAAAAATCTTAAAATCCTCTCGTGCTGTCTCAGTGTTTGGGTCACGCTCTTTGGCGGCGCCCTTCATCTGGCACGCTGCAGTGAATTTCCCGAGCGCGAATGCTGCGATTTGACCACCACCTCGACAGTGGGTCCTCTGCCATTGCCGCCGCCGGCCCTGCCCACCGACAAATCATTATCATCGGCCACAACCGCCTTGGAGACAGACCTGAATCTAACAATTGGCCGTTCAGGTAAGCAAGCAACTATAACTTAAATCAGAGCAGATGTAGTGTAGCTATTAGTGCGTTAATCGATATGAATAGTGTGACTGTCAAAGTTGACAGCATGTTAAATTGTGTGATTGCGCTGTGATTTGACTGACAATATCTAAATATGAATGATAAACAACAAAGTAATATGTGAAATTAATTGCGATTTAATTATTGTGACAAGTTGGTAAGATTTTTAACTAATGACTGACGGAACTGTTGACTATGCCCAACTTGAGTTATATTAAACCATGGACACATGTTTCGGTCTCACTTTCATCTTGTGTCTTAGCCAACCTTTGCTATTATGGTGTATCTAAAAATATATTGGCTGCAGTCTAAGTGAGTGCAGTATTGGTAAACAATACTTAACGCTTCATTGGCCATACAAACACTCCCCGCACACATGTGGAAACTATACTTATGTATTAGCTGGAACGAAGATAGCGCCAGATGCCATCACTTATGCTCCAATTAACACGATGACCTTTCAGACCATCGACGGGACTTTGTGCTGACGGGTGCTGAGGCAGCCGCTCAACCGGGTCTGGGACACGATTGCCTGCAAGCGGTTTGGCATGCATTGGATACGTGGCACTCCCCTGCAGCCCGTTGGGAACGCTGAGCGTTGCCTGCATGTCTGTCTGAGTCGATTTAGAGTCTCTGAACTATTTGAAATGCAAAGCAAACGTCAGCTGTAAAACAATTTATATTCACTTTGGATTGAGGTTTTGTTTTGTATTTTATTGTGTGCGCTAGCACTGACGACACAGAGGTGTGTATGAGTGTGTCTGTGTGTGAATAAGTTTGTTATCTTGCACGGCAGCTTGACTTGTTTTAAATGTTTGCTGAGCGTTGCTACGTGCCGTAAACAGCAATAGATATAGCGAACAACAGCATTTTTTTCCAATTGGCCACAAGGACACAGTAAATAAACATGGTGCTCCATTGAGTTTGTTGCACTTGCTGCAAAATTTCTGCTGTACTGCGGAATTTAAAATGAATTTGAAGTAGCTAACGAACTTTTCATGTCAATTGAGACTTCAATAAAAAAAATAAAAAAGATGCCAAACAACCATCGAAATTCAAATTAAAAATGCAACCCGAAATTCATCGATAATAACTGGCCAACTTCAGTGGAGCAGAGTGATTTTGTATTGCCATGAAATCAGCTCGTAACCCTCCCAATTAACCCTCTCTCTCTGCTCAGCCAATGCTATCCATTTATCCAAGCCAAATGGCAACTGTGAAAAGTTTGGTTGAAGTGCAGAAAATTTTGAGACGCAAAAAAGCTGTTGAAAATAAATTTAAAAAATAAAAATATAGCACAATAATATTCGGAAATGGAATTGCGAATATTGTATTGAGTGGCCACTTTCATAGGCTTTCGTAGAACTTTCGTATAGATTTAAATGTCAAATTAGCAACAAATTAAAAATGCCAGCTGCCTGCAAGTTAAATGAGTCTCAGTACTGCCTACAATTCAAAAGAAACTCTGAGCGCAATAACCTCTGTCGCACACAGACACACACACACACACGCACAGACACACACTTGAACATAGATACAGAAAGTGACAGGAGGTAACACGCAATGGCAGTTGCTGGCTATATAATTGAGTTTATTAAATAATCATAACTATCGATTCGATAGGTAACGTTACGTTTGGGGTTCATTTTGCTACCCCTTCGATCCGATGTCGCTATAAAAATAGCAAATGGACATCAAAAATGCAAAATGCTTGCAAGTGCTCTGCTCGAAATGCATGTGATTGATTGATTGATCGGGCCCAGGGCAGACGACAGACATTGGCCAATTAAATTGGCTGGCAAAATTAGTCATTAAAAAAAACTGTATGAACTGTATGCCCGGACCGAAGACGTTGAACAGCCACTACAAAATCGATTGGTTTGCCGGTAAGACTGGTTAAACTGCAAAAGCAGTCAAAGGACACTCACATACACCAATTACATTACACACACACAACCACACACACGCACACACACACTTGCAGAGGGAGAGAGGGAGAAAGAGGGCGACACACATAACAATTTGCAATGAGGTTGACGTTGAGGGACATAAAAATTTCCGTATGCCTTTTTATCGACATATGGCAGAGTCTACAACAACGTAGTCCGGCTAAGTCCTTTTTCCTGTCACATGACAAGCTCGAAGACGACGACGACGACGACGACGACGACGAGTTGAGTACGTCTTGCAGTTTATAGCATTTAGATTGAGTTTGCACACATATTCATACAACTTGCTTGGATTCGTAGTCGTATTCGCATTTGAATTTGAATTTCCTTCAGTGGCCAAGAAAAAGGAGCCTCTGACCCCGAGTCTTGCCCCGCCTGTCCACAATCAGCTTCTTGTCACAGCCGAACTATGCATGACATATGTCTGCATGATTTTAATCAGTATAAAATTTTCATTTTATGTTTGCATTTTCCGCTCGGCCCTATGCAAAATTGATGGTTGGACAGTGGTAGGGGTTATGATAAACTTATATATAATTTTGTTTGTTTTTTTCTTCATACTTATCTGTGGCAACTTTTACTTGTGCTTTTCGTTCAGACATTATCAATTTTTGTTCATATGCAGTCGAACCATCTCTAAGTGCTTTACTGTGGCTGGTTGCGAACGTGCACGTTAGCTCGAACGGTTAAATCGCATCAATTTAAGCTTTTCAGACACTAACACACACTCAAACAGACGCTTACACAGTCTCCGCGCACAATGCTCTTATGTTATTCCAGCTTAATTATGTTGCAACACCCGTTCGACCCTCGACATGACCCAGACCAACACCAAACCGGCTTGACCTGCCACTGCGAGTCCTGGCCGTGTGTGTACACAACGCGCACAGGTGCCAGAAGGCCCGTGTAACAAGAATGCTTTATGTACTGCCCCAGGTCCGCGCGTGCACATGTGTTTGTGTGTGCGTGAATTAGTTATGAAGCCAAAGTCAAACTGGGTCAGTATTTCTTCCAGCATGCGCCTGTATTACTGCACTCGCTCCCACCCTCGCTCTCTTGCAGCCGCTGCCACACGGTTGTTGCACCACTGAATGTTGCCATATATTTGTGCGGCGCGTATACCACTTTCGTGTTATTGCGTATACGTGCCGTTGGCCATGCGTTCAATGCATGCCACTTTCTCATGCTGTGTCAATAGTTGAGCACCGTGCGTTTATAGCTGTTAAAATTGTAATTAAATTCAATGCGCTTCTCGGCAAAAAATGTAAATTTTATGCCATAAGAGTGTCCATACGAACATGCAACATTTTCTTGAAAAAAATAAAATAAAAATGCAACAGCAATGCCGCTGCGGCCACAGCAGTAACAGCAGCATCAACCCCAACGTAATATTTCAATTTGTAGGACACTCGAGCCAAGATACAAGGCAGCCAAGTAGAAGAGCTCAGCACTTAACCTTCGGCTGATGCTGATGCTGCTGTTGCTGCTGCTGAATCACATGGGCCTGACCTTCATCAAATGTAGAAAAGGTAGAAGCAGACACTTAGCGCAAACTCACAAGTCGTGGCTTATGTTACTGCTGCTGCTGCTGCTACTTTCTTGCGATGTTTGCCAGGCAAATTAAAAATTCAGCACAAAACAAAAAGCAGCAATGGCAATGACTGCCAACCTCAGTCGTAGCCACAGTCGTAGCCACAGTCAGTGGCACTGGCATAAGCTGCGTACCACAGCACCACGTGAATTGTGGGGCAACCGCTGCTTACGGTTCTCTAGCTGTCTCGATTTCACTTCAAATGAGAAAATACGCAAGGCGAAGCGCGCGCAAAAAGTAAATTAAAAATTGTGTGTGTTTATTTGCACAAAATTCCAGCAAAGCGAACGGCAAAAACCTGCCACCAAACAGCGGGTGGCACCGCCGCTGGTAACTAACCCGCTTGCCACAGTTGCGAGCACTTTAAAGCTAGCTGCCATTTTCAAAGCAGTCTTTAAATTGAACGGCAGCAGCTCGACGTGTCGGTGCTGAAAGTCAAGGTTGCTAATTAAGTGGCTTATGTTTTGTTTTTATTTCCATATAAATATATATATATATATATATACATATATATATATTTTTTTTCCTTTTGGGTCAAACACATATAAAGGCGGTATAAAGCTTCCTGCCACAGATTTCGTCTGCTGTGCGACACATTAAGCGCATTTAAAAGTGCTTTATGCGTACGTGTCTGTCTGCCTATATGTATATAAATGTGTGTGTGTGTGTATGTGCGCGTGTCAGTGTGCGTGTGTCTCGTTTTAAGTCCTGAGCTTAGCATCAATTTTTGAGGGATTTATGGTTTTTATTTGGCCACCAAAGTGCGCTGTGGCACATATACAATCAACACGTTCCACGCCCCCACCGGGGTTGGCATTGGGGCGTAAGCTGAAACTTGTTTCGTTTAATTAAAAAAAGCGGCAACCATTTCAGCTAGTGGCGACTGTTAAATGATTTCGTATTTTGCATTGCCAAATAAATCACGAGTCAACATTTTAAAGAGCTCAAGTGTGGCAAAAGCATATTTATGTACTACATGTGAGCCCGGAGCACATCATCTATCAAAATTCACTTTTCATAGGGCGCCAGTTAAGCAGTACGCAGCTGTCTGGCAGACTGTCTGCCTGCCGGACTGACAGTCTGGCATAAATTTAACCCGCACGTAGTCGCAATTTTAATATAATAGCGGGCTAAGCATAGTCCAACCCTCTTTGCGCCTCTTGGTACGAGGCATATCAACGACCTAGTAAGCATCTTTATATAATTTCATGAGGCTGTCATCTCTCTCTCTCTCTCTCTCACACATACACACATGCAGTAGGGACACCTGGCGATCGCTCGCATCACGCACTTTGCATAAATTTGTTATGCATATAAAATTAAAAGCATATTTTGAGGCGGCAAGCAGCAAGGCAAGGAGTTTACTTTAGATAGCTGCTGCTGTTGATATTTGTAATTTGTACTTCTTTTAA